GCCCCCGGACGCGGAGCTCCCCGCGGGGGAAGGGGCGGGGCCGGCGCCGGGGAAGGGCGCCCCCTGGAGGCCGCGGTGGCGCCTCCGCACCCCCGCCCGTCGCCATGGCAACCGGGGAGGGTGGGGGGAAGATAAACCTTTAGTTTATCCTTTAATTTATCCTTTAATTTACACGCGACGGAGTTTAATGTCAAAGTGCCGGCCTCAGACAGCACAGATTCACTCTCAGTACTGACGTAGAAGTTGCCCCTTAAAGCTGCTCTATAGGAGAACCTATATATGATATATACACCCACTAAATCAATCAATATAAAATAAGGCCTGGAGAATTTAAATAAGCGACTTCCACCCATTTCAAAACAACCCAAATTTATACTCACAAAAGAATCCACCCTTTTTCCTCACTTCACCTCATTTTTTTTTCTATCTCTTTTAAAAATACCTACACAGAGAGCAATATGTTCTACTTCCCCACAGAGCCGGATATTTCAAACGGCATCTTATTATTTTGCAAAATAAGCCATGTATTTTGAAGACACGAGGGAAGCCTTTACAATCCCTTAGAGCCTGATGGTTTAACACAAATCACAGCATTTTACCAAGCCTTTCGTTCACGGAGCTCCTCTGCTCCGACTGAGCCACAAGGTACCTCATTTTAAGATCAGGATTTCAATTAGCAGAGAACCCACAACATCCCTAATGTTGTTGCTCTGGTAATTAGTTAAAAAAATATATAAATAATTATGCTCTGATCCTGGTATCCCAGCCCAGTTTGTTCCATGCTGTGGATTCCAGCAGCAGGAGCTGTAAATTCGCTGTAGCCACCCAGACGGGTGATGCCCATGTATTTCTCCCCTCTATTCACCAAAATATTTTCCGTGTGATTATTCAAACAAAAAAAAAAAAAAAAAAAAAAGCGCCTTTTCCCCAGTTCCCAGCAGAGGGCAATCAGGAAAACTTAAAAACCCGTTATTTGCCAAGGGAAAAGTTAAAAAAAACAACCCCAAAACCCCAAAGCCAAGGCTTTGCTTTGAATTGAGCCCTGCTCAGTGGGTCCATCTCCACCTAATAAAAGCACAATAAATTTTGAAATCACCCCTGGTGACAGCAGTAAATAAAACTTGCATTTGAAGAAGAACTGATCATTCCCTGAGCCATGCCTTGGGTTTAAAACCAGGTAGGAACCACTCAAAACCATTTCATAGTTACTAGAAAAAGGTAAAACTCACCTTGTGCTGTAATAAAGAGAAGTTTAATCTGTTATTTCAGGTTATTGAACTATCTACTTCAAAAATCACTTGCTGGAGCTCAGCCCTTTTCCAGGATGGGCCGTGGTGCTCCCAAAGAGCATCGACCAGGGCACAGAGCTTAAAGCTTAAGTGTAGAAGGGACCCCATTAAAAACCCTGACACGTCCCTCCTCTCTCCAAAAAAAGGGAAAATTCTCCAGCAATAGAACTCAAATCCCTCCCACCATAACTGTTTGTTCACAACAGAAGTCCAAAGGAGACCAACCCATCAATAGAAGCAATTCCATTGCAGCCCCATACTCTTACGTTGCAATAAATACATATATATGTATAATTTCCCAAATATGTTTCTCTCTCTTTCAAAATTTGTATTGGATACAAAAACACAACCTAGTTTGGTTTGGTTTTTAAAATACAGTTTTGGTATCACATAAAGGATGTTTTTAAGAGAACAAACCAGATTGATTTAGCAGGAGTTTTAAAACCATCCAGCTGAAACACCAACAACTGCTCTCTCGGCATGAATTTTACAGCCCACATCCAAAAGAAGTTACTTATTTTGAGGCTCAACGTGTACAAAAACGAACACCACCCACATCTAGGACTTCCCACCCACAAATAACACAAATTCTGTTTCTCCCCCACCCCGAATTAATGCAATTTCCATCTCCTTGTAGCATTTATAGAAAGAACAACTTTCAACAACACATCACAGCTCCCAGACTGAAGATTCCTTAAATTCTCACTTCAGAATTCACAAGTGTACCAACCAGAGTATTTTAATTTAGTTGTTAGTATATACATTAACACTCAAAAGTGGGATAAAAAAACAAAAGTAGTTTGGTTTGTTTTTTTTTTTTAATAAACAGCATGTGATACAGACCGCGCCGATAAATAAAAAGCAGACTTTTTACAGTTTCCCATGAAGAGGAACTACAGTATCATAGGCCAAACCTTTGTTACTCGAGTAGCAGAGCAGAAGAGGAGAAAAAAGGGGTTTTTGTTTTAAAAATAAAATAAAATTACTGCAAGACTATTCTCAGTATGACAACACATGCATCTTGCTGCATCTTAAATACTTTTTTTTTGGCCCGTTATTACTAAAAATGTCTTGCTTTCTACCTACTTTACCACAGGACCTTTATTACAGAGTGACACACACGGCAACATCCCCCTCCCGACCCCCCCTCCCCCAGTAGTGGTTATTTCCAAGATAATTGTCTCATTTTTAAAAGATAATTTAAGCACTGGTGGGTGTTTGTACCATCCCTTTGGTGCAGAGATGTAACTGCTAATTACCTTTGAGTGACAAAGTGAGATATAAGCATCAAGAATGACACCCTCCTGGGCTCTATTTATCCAAAATGCACCCCCAGGACCCTGGGCTGCCTGAGGAAGAGCAGGGGAGGGAGGTGAGCCTTCATCCCTCCCCTCTGCTCAGCACTGGGGAGGACACACCTGGAGCACTGGGCCCAGTACGAGCCACCCATGGACATACTGGAACTGGTCCAGGAAGGGCCATGAAGATGCTGAAGGGGCAGGAGAGCGCTGAGGTTGTGTAGGATGGTGAGGAGAAAGCTCAAGGGGTGTCTTGTCAACGTACGTAAATAGTTGATGGAAGGGAATGAAGAGGACAGGCGAGGCTTTCCTCACTGCTGCCCACAGAAAGGGCATCAGGCAACAAAACAGAGGAAATTTCATATAAACATTATGAAAAAACCCTTTACTGTGGACTCTTTCTTTCTTGGACAGACTCTAAACCCAACTGGGTGATGTCCTTGGTGACCTGCTGACCCTCCAGAAGTTCCTGGGCGACCTGCTGTAGCTGACCCTGCTCCCAAGGACCATCTCCAGAAGCCTCTGCCAACCAACCTCAAGGATTCTCTGAAAGTTCTTGCAATTGTGGTGCCAGTTACAGTGACAACAACACTTCCAAAATCTCAAGCCCGAGAACCCAGGCCATCAGACTGCAGCCACATAGATTTTTAAAGCCTTCTCTCTACCAGAGACGTGGATTTGGATGGTGTACGTGGATATTCACAGCTAAAACTTGCAGAGGTGTGAGGGGGAAAGGATAATACGTCCAGGGGATGAATTACACATTTATCTTCACAAGAGAAGATGAAGAATTTGGACGACAGGGGCTGGAGAGAAGGAAGAAGAGGATTCTGTAACTTCAGCAGTACAATTAGGTCAGGTTTAACGGTGATTAATTCAATACTGGGAGAAGATCCTAAGAAAATTGCTGCAGTTACACTGAACTAAATGGTTCCTAACCAGTTTGTACTGGGGAACTGGCACTAGAATTTCAGAAAAAGTCAAGAAAGTGTTATTTTTGGCCGAAGGAATATTGCAGCACATACAGAAGTGACAATAAGGACACTTAAACTAAAGACACATTGATCCAAACCAATAGGAACAATAAGTTCAAAGTCCAGACAGAGCATTGCTTCGATTGAGCTTCTCTTATAAGTGTTTTATGTTGTTGTTACGATACGGGGAGGTCCCTGTTTAGGGGAGAGGGAAGGGAGGAGACAGGGACAGAGGGATCCACCTCTGGCTTAGAGACAGGAGCACTCACACAGTAAGACCTTGTACTTCTAAGAGTCTACCCCCAAAAGTTCAGAAATCAAGAACACTGTACTGCAAATTAACAACTGAGTTTTTTTGTCCTGAGTGTGGGTTCAACGAGTCCTTATCCTATAAAAGAGAAGGAAGAGGAAACATTTAAGCCAGCGAGCAAGAAGAATCCTGGAAGCCTCAAGAATGAAAGTAACCACAGACAAGATGAGTTACGAATGGGAGAGCTGAAAAGGCCGGTTAATAACGACTATTTCAAAGTCAATTTGTCTAGTGTTAATTGGGCTTCTGTTAAACATTCCTCTCATTAAGAGAGCATCTTTCATACTGAATTGTATGAATAAGTAACATGGAACCTTAATATACACACAGTCTAACTCTGATTTCACATGCCGTTGGAAAACCAGAGTGATGCTGATATAGTTTTATCAGCATGAAGTAAAATCAGAATTTCTCAAAGAGGAGAGCACCTACAGATTTGGTTAGTGTACGCAGAGAGACAACTGCTAGATCCAGTTGGCTTCCCTTCATTAATACAGATGTAAAAAATAAAATAAACAACCCCCCCTCCCCCAAAAAACCCCCTCACCAACTGGAGGGGCAGCAAGTTATACATCATTTTGGACAGATAGAGCCTCACCCTAAACTGAGACAACTTTCAGCACAAAAAAAAAATAAAAAAAAAAATACAAATTCATTATTTGTATGAAACATGTATTGCAAAATTAAGTTGGGATTCAACAATCTGCAACAACATCCACAGCTATATAGTATTTAAAAAAAAAAAAACACAAACAAGTGTGGTTCTTCTTCCATTCAAGTAGAACTAAAACAAGATAATGAAACATGGAAGATTTAAAAAAAATATATACCTTAGAAGCAGCAAGTTACAATTCTTTCTGTAATACCACACCATTTTCATTAACTTGAAGCA